AAGAAAAACCCTCTGTAAGCATTATCCTGGCCCAGGGACTTGCTAATGAGACGCAGATATGTTTTATATATTCCAAACATTTTGGACTTACATAAAATTGTTGCTTCTTTTAGTGGATACATTAATCATCAAAAATACCTCAGTCATTTCTAATGTTCTATGAAGAATGGACAAAAAGGACAGTGCTCTCTGAATTTCATGTCTAAAAAAAAAAAAGGAATCCCAGAAATTGCACTTCATCAAAGAGATAACTTACCTCTTAATAATTCTGGAACTTGCTAAGTGCAATGAGGCAGAACTTTCCAATAACATCAATGTATTAACACTGAACGAAGTAGGGAAATCAGGAGTATCTGTTCTTTTAAAAATAGATATCAGGGGTGAAATTTTGTAAAGGTAGAGTTCTAGAAATAAAACTAGCTAATGATAGAACTTCAAAAGAGGACAAAACTCAGAACTGGTCTTTTATATTGCTAGGGCCTAAGGAAGAAGAATCAAAAGACCAAAGCACAGGATTTTGTGACCAAAAAAAAATCTGTTTTGAAATAATTTTTCACTTTTATTGAAATCACCCTGTACCACCACCCACCATGGTACAGCAACCATTATCACCATCATGGTTAGCGTTTACCCACAAGGCTGTGCATGACATCTTGCACTTTCATTTAATCCTCACTAATGACCCGGTATCAGCACCTCAGCATCAGCACCATTTCATAGTTGAGATGTCTGTAGAAACAGGCTAACTTGCCCAAGACCACAGACCAGCAACAGGGAGAAACCAGATGCTATATCCAGAACCGCCTCTTCTGTTTCACCTCTTAGAGAATGACCCCTCCCAACCAAGAGGTGATATATGTTCTAATAAGCAAGTGAACCTTGTTTTTTATTTTTTCCTGAAATGGCACCCTTCTGAGTTCCTTCTTATTTCCTACCATATAAACCTCCACATCCGAAAGCTGGGTGTGGCAGTAGATGCCTGCAATCCTAGCACGGGGGAGGTGGAGGCAGGGGCATCACAAGTTTGAAGCCAGCCTCAGCTACATAGCAATTCTGAGGACAGCCTGAGATAACAAGATAAACAATGCCAAAACGAACTTATAAAACAACACTAAATATACAAACCAAAACCAATGCATTTCCCCACATTCTAGAATACATACGTTATTTTCTTATAATTAGAATGTATTCAGATGACATTGGTTTTCGTTTTATGTTTGAGTTTTTTTCAGTAAATTTAATTAGAATACAAGACATTAGATATCATTATGACATTTCCCATCAAAGCGTGTGTGGTTTAATTGAGACTCTTCCCCTCCCCTCACCACTGCTATCCCCTCTCTTTTCCTCCTTCCTCTCCCCGTGTCCTTGTTCCTTCACATTTATTTTTACCCTCGGTCTCCTTCCTAGGTTTTTAGGCTTTTCCTACCATTGCACCCTACTTACATATAATGTAAACCTCACAGGTCAGCATCTGCCTATGAGAGAACACACATGAGTTTGTCTTTTTGAGTTTGGGTCACGTCACTAAATATTATGCTTTCCAGACCCATCCATTTTCCTGAATATTTCATGATTTTTTTCATATTTTCTCTTCAGATGAATGAAATTCCACTGTGTAAATGCACTATATTTTAATTATGCACTCATATGTTGATGGTCATCTAGGCTAGTTCCAATTTCTTGTTCATGAAAACAGCCGGAAGTGGCAGGTTATGGAGGACTATGGTTATAGACATTCTTTTTTTTAATGCCCAACAGATCACATCATATATATCCTTCATGTGATATATCCTCCAACCCTGCTGGCTGCCCCTATCACCACCTTGCCTGAGGAAACTCCATCCCTTACCCTTGTAAGTATCTTACTCAGGCAGAAAAATAAAGTTTCTCTTTTTTCCCATTCACCCTCTTGGTTTTTTTTTTTTCATCAAAAAATACTGATTAAATCAATTTTAATCATTAAATTAACTCAAGCAAAGTAGTTTAATTAATTTTAGTTTTAGGGAAATGAGATAATGGAAAGAACCTCTGACGACCAAACCATATCCAAACCCCAGAAGGCACTATGAAAACCCGCACATGAGAGAAAATAAAATAAACATAAAGATAGCAGCAGACACGGCTATTGTGAGTCTCCACCTAGGACTCAAGTTCAAGGGCTTCTGTATTCCAACAGCACAAGATAAAGAAAGCTGCAGACACAGCTACTGTGTGTCTCCGCCTAGGACTCACGTTCAAGGGCTTCTGTATTCCAACAGCACAAGATGTGGTTATTATTCTTTCTCAAACTTCTCATTCATATTATTGATCAGACAGTGGGAGTCAGAGGAAGGGTGTTTCATTCCTACTTCAATTCGTTTTTCAAAGTGGCTGCCACAAAATGGAAGTACAGAGACACAGGCCACATCCAGTGATGTTGGCTGAAGAAGAATTAAGAGCACTCTGTGTCTTAGTTATTTTCAAAGCAATAAATGAAATGATATGCACTTGTGATCTATTCTTTTTTAAAAAATATTTATTGCATTGATTTGTTTAGTAGAGGGACATGCATGTGTTGTGTGTGTGAAGGAGGGCAGGCAACCTATGGTAGCAGGGTCTCTTCTTTCACCATGTGGCCCTAAGGAGCAAACGCAGATTGTCAGGATTGCCACCAACTGCCTTCACCTGCTGTGCCAGCTCCAGCTCTCTACTATGGCTTTAATGAAACTATATCTTTAATGCTGTAATGCTGTGATCACCTTAAGATGCCAGCACCGCTACGCAAAATGCAATAAGGTGTTGTGAATTTAGTTCAGGTGCTGATAATGACACACACACATACACCAAGTGTATGAAAGTTTTTATTACACACACACACACACACACACACAAACGCATGTATGAACCTGCAGAAAACAGGTTCAAGCATTCCTGAAAGCTGTGCAGTAAATATTGAGAGACTGCACTATGGGGACAAGTGATGGGGCAAAATGCCTGTCAGGGCAGCAGCTTTATCCCAACGCCCTTTTTCTTCCAGGCTGGAAGGCTGAGACAGCATCGTCCGTAAGAGAAGCACAGGTAGACAAATCTCAAACAGCTTGCCTACATACCCCTTACTTACCAAGTACCGCTTCCGGGTTGCTACGGAAGAAATAAACTTTCATCTTAAACAAACTATTCTATTTGGGGGTCAGATTATAGCAGCTGGTCCTTTTTCTAACTTATGCAAAAATAGAGAATGAATATATTAAGAACTCGAGCTCATCTTTTATGAACCCCCTCTCCATGCTCAACCTTTGGGTTTTACTTTTAACAAGTATAAATAAGGAGCCTCAAATGGAACTGGCTGTAAACAAGACCTAAAAGCTACATATGACTTTCACAGATTCAGTGTGTTTATCCTCTATTCCAGAACCATCCTTCAGCATACAGTTGCCTGTATATTCTTTGGGCCTAAATGGATGTAAGTAGTTAATCTAAATCATGAGTATCAAATCGACAAATGAAAACTCAGGTTGATTAACATGTAGATTTCCTTTTATTCCAACACAGACATATGCCCATGGGCTCTTAAGGTTTACGTGTTCTCTATCATCAGTTAATCATAGATAATTGGATGAGGATAAAACAGACTTCATCTCCCTCGGTGTGATGCCAAGATGATGATTTTCTCTGATTCCTGGTTTCGCCTTACCCGGTGCTTTAGAATAGTTCTGTGTTGCTAAGACAACAGGGACACTGCAACAGAAAACTGGGACTGAAGTCAAGGCACGGAAGCAGCCTCAAAGGATGTCATAAATAGTGTATCTCAGGCCTTATTCACAGTGAAACCTGTAACACCTGAATTAGAAAAAAAGAAAAAGATTGTATTCTTCCAGCGTTCTTCCAGAGCATCAGGTACCTTCGACAGCTTCCACTCAGAAGGTAAGAGGTCAGTGAGGAGTACACTGCCATCCGTTCACTTACTGGATAAAACCCTGTGGAAATAACCGAGGTGAGCCTGTCCTTAAATTCCAGCCTTATCCTGAGGGCAGCGTGTCTGCAGGGTGAGACCTGACGCTAAGCTGGAAGTGTGTGTCATCGCATCTGAAGGAAGGCTCGATTCTGGGGGGTAAATAGGGCAGATCTGACATCTGCTGAGACTCACAATTGGTGTTTGGAATTCGAGTGTATGAGCAGATGCAAAGGTGATGGGTTTTCCGGTGCACTTTTTTTTTTTTTTTTTTTTTAAGAGACAGAGTGTCACTGTGTACCTCTGGCTGTCTTGGAACTCACTATGTAGACCTTGCACACAGAAAAAAATCCATGTGTGCCCCCATGCCGGGCTTTGATGTACTTTTGAAAATACCGAAAGCCCAGTGGCAATGGGGTGAGCCAGGCTGCATCCCCAGCTCTGTCTGAGCAAACTGAACAACTGCAGGGTAAGGAAAATGAGATGCTTGAATGGTCCTAAAAGAAAAAAAAAAAAAAAAGGAAGGAAAACGGCACTTGACTCTAAACTGAAGAGTGTTCTTCATGTCATGTATATTCTACTGCTAAAAGGAAAAAAAAAGAACAATGAGGCTGGGGATATGGCTCAATGGTCCGGAGATTGTCTAACATGTGCAACGCCCTTGTTTGGATTCCTAGCACTTCAAATAAATGAATAAATTGCAGGAAGAGATGAATGAGAACTCTGTGTCCCCAGAGCTTGGAAAAGCCTTCTTCAGAATCAGGTCCCTCTCTCGCAAAGTCATCTGGCTGGAAATAACAGCCACGCAAAGGCAGGCAGTGGAGGAAGCTTCCTCAGTCCTCAAAGGAAAAGAAATAGAGCGGCCGGAGGCCGAGTTACCACCATAGAATTCCTTTTTCAAGTCGGAGTCAAGGTACTATTTACTCAAGGAAACTGGTAGTCATGGAGTAAGGTCAATGGTTCTGCAGATTCATCTAGCAGAGTCAAGTGAAAACCATTAGACCCTTGTTTAACACCCTGGTGATCTAAGTGTAAAAACAAAACAAAAAAAGAAAATAGAAAAAACCACAGAGCACTGCATTTTAATATTTGTAAGAAGCATAAATCATAATGGTTTGTATGCCACACTATACAAATAAGATACCTGTACTTTCCAAAGAAAACCAACTTCTTAGAGGGTTTTCCAAACAGTCACTCCATATAGCTAAGAGCTTGACCCTTTAGCCACTGCTACAGCACGGGGGATACAGGTGATAAGTTCCCGACTCTTCCAGCTGTGCCTGTTTCTGCCGCCACTGAAGAAGCGGCCTCGCGGAGGCCTGCTGCGGCCCCTTCCATCTCCTGTGCCACCAAATGTGGGCTCTGCGGGGCAGGCGAGCGCTGACCTGATGGGACAGCCTCTGGGCATGGCTTCCCACAATCCTCATCCCCGTTAGGAGAACTTGCGCTTCTTCATGGCTTCTGCCTTGACCGCCAGGCTCTTGGCACAAATGGTCAGGACCACAATGAGCACGCCCACCACAAATGTCACCACTGGCCAGAGGAAGCAGTGCAGGAGGACGATGTCATCATGCGTGCGGCGTAGGAGAACGTCCTCTGGTCTGTAAGAGTGGAGGGCAAGGAAAGAAGAGCAGTCAGACTCTCGTTACAGCATCGGAAACTACGACCCGCGTACGAACTGGATTTCCGGCCCAAGGGGATAATCACACTTGAAAGTCAAGACTCTGATTAGGAAGACACTGTACTTTCTGCTTCAAACCCATTTCCAAAAGCTGTGAGCTCTTGAATCAAGCAATTGGTGCAAATCTGCATATCATTTATTATATCATTTGCATGCTGCAAAATGTCAAAGGTACAGCATTATTTTGCTGTCATTTTTTTTTCACCCAAAATTGCTCCCTTTTTCTTCCTTTCTTTTAACCTCACTGGTCAATGGGTATAGATGAAGCTGAATGTGATTGACGGGTAGGTATTCTCAGCAAACCTACACTCAGTCTTGGCATTGTGCTAGATCCCAAATGATTTTAATTTGAAGGGAAAAGATTAACACCACTGTTCAGGTGAGGGCGATAGAAGGTACATAGCCATCAGGTGTGCCTAACCTGCACCGTTGCTTAACCATGAATGCAGACCAACACCCTGAAATACTACTACATCATATCATAGCATCCAAAGCCTGGCACCCTTGGTATTTCTTAGGATAACTCAGCTGTTGCATATGAACCAAAGGTTTCACCCGTAAAACATTTATTAATAAAATAAAACAATGGACTGAATGCATCATCTATGTTTCTATGTGAAACTTAGCATCCATTTGAGCCACTGCCCACTGTCTTTCTGCTGGTCCTGCAAAGCGGCAGTAATCAATTTCTCTCTTGTCAGTGGGAACATTGTTTCAGTTCCCACGTTTGTCTCTGATAGAAAGCAAAGACGAGACAGGCTCCACAAACCACGCTCTCCCACCTTTCGTGATTAGACAGATGTCTGGGAGTTCAATTTTCATACAAGAGGCTTGTATTTTATGAAATATTTGCATTCCACCCAAAGGAAAGTTGGCTCTGTTCTCCTACTACTGCAGGCTATGTACCTATTCTCCCTTCAGAAAAAAAATGTTGCAAAATGATGTATCCCACTAGCCCCAAGAAAAATCAAAGGCTTCAGAGCCCAACGGCAGTGCCTTTAACAGGGAAATATACCCCTGGGAGCTTTCACTGGTACTAGCTCTTATTTCCCAGAAGGCTGATAAAGAACACTGGGTATTTCTCTTTTCTGTGTCGGGAAGTTGCCACACAGCATCCGCAGAGACAGCTGTGCAGGCTGGATACGAAATGTGCTTTTCTTCTTTGGTGCGTAATTTCAATTTTTGTGCATGCAGTGAGATTCTAGTTGGCATTTCAATGACAAGTTGTATTAAATGAACGCAGAATAACTGTGGCAGCGAGGCACCAATCGCTCCAGTGCAACAGGGCTCTGACCTGTCATTCTACATGGATTTATTATTAAATAACTTTTTCTTCTGCTGAAGAGCTGCCTGGGCTGCAGCCCTATTATCCACGTACACGTTAAAGAAACTTCACGCCTGCGTTGGAAGGAGTAGAGGTCAAGGCTCCAGAACAGCCGAGGCTCAAGGCAGTCGGAGTCACTTTTAGAGTCTTTACTGCCAACGCTGCCTCGGCTCTCTTCCCAGCTACACAGCTGGAAGATGACCCTACCTCAGTGTGCAAGAGAAGATCCAACCTGTCTCCCAAGATGCTCTTTGAGGAACACACTATTCTACGCCTTTAAAACTACTGATACAAAGAGGAGTTCTAGATTCTTCATCAAAAAGGTCAGATACACAGCAACATGAATACATTTGGTACCAGGGAAAAACCAAGAAAAAGGAGAGGGAAAGGGAATTTGGATTTTCATTTCTATAGTAACTGCACGTGTAATTTGCATAAGTAATGTGTTTTTGTAACTAATTTTCCGGTACAATGCTTCTGTGTAGATCTGCTTTGGTATGCTTTCTCCAGTCACTGTTTAGGATATTATCGAACGCCTTTATCACATATCAAACAAAAGAGCCGGGGAAACAGCTCCAGGAGGGATGCCGGAACTGCCATACAGGCCGTACAGACTGTCTGAAACACAGTTTGAAGAACAAGTGTTGGAGAAGATGTGAAGGAAACAGGCAGGAAAGAAGGAAGCCACCGGAAACTGTTGGCTCCGGAAGCTTGTCTTCCTCAGAAACTCTCTAGAATTCTATCTCCTTGTTCCTGGGCAACACTGCTGTTTCAAAGCTTTACGTGACAAAGTAAAATGACTCATGCGAGCTGCATTTGAACTGCTTCAACAAATCCTTCTTTAGAGCTAGAAAAAAAAATTATCATACACATTTCCTTCAAAACCATGCATGTCTGTCTGTACTTCAGACAGCTCTAAGGTACCCCACAATCTCCTTGGATAGGAAAACTTCATTTCTCAGGTCACTAGTCCCGTGGTAATATGATTCACTGAGATCACCTTTAAATTTCACCTAAGTTTTTCCATTTTGACTGGGCTTATTGTACTGTAATTGAAGGTACTCTCCTGCCTCAGTTATCTATGTCCTCCTGGTTGGTTGGCCAAAAACTATTTGACTTAGAATTCACTTTTTTTTTTTTTCATGGTTATATGGTCAAAATGAAGAGGAACTTCATTGAATATAGACAAAAAGGCCAAACACGATACTCTCTACCCAAGGGTCCTTTTGCAGGGCTTGGGGATTGTAATGGAAACCGAGTGAGGAAGGCGTGAGCATCCCGAAAGAAGAGCAAGTATAGCCGGGAACCGTGGGAAATGCCTGCGTGCAGCTTTGAATGGACCTTGTGGTAATGAAGACGACACTTCTGTTGGCTCGCTGCTTACTTACATTCAGCATTTACTAAGCACCGTGCTCCCTGGCAAACACTACGGCTGGACATTTCATTATTTCATTATTTATTTCTTTATGTTTTATGTTCCTTGGTGTTTCGCCTGCATGTATGTCTGTGTGAGGGTGTCAGATCCTCCTGGAATTGGAGTTACAGACGTTATGAGCTGCCATGTGGGTGCTGGGAATTGAACCTGGGTCCTCTGGGAGAGCAGACAGAGCTCTTAACTGCTGAGTCATCTCTCCACCCCCTAGGACATTACATCTTATCTCGTCCTCAAAATAACTGTGTTTGAAATTCCTTCAAGGGAGCACTGGAAGGGATTAGGTTGCTCAAATTCACACAGCTTAAAGTGAGAGCATAATAATTTGAAACCATATCAGTGTGATTTTTTTTTTTAGCTGTGTTATTTATTTACCTGTAAGCCAGCTTTTCTCAAACTAGGTTCAAGTGATACCTGTTTCAACCTCTCATTCACCTCCCTCAGAATCTAAAGTTGTGTGGCCCAGAAGTCTTGTAGGAAGTCTGGGGTGACTCTACCTGTACTTGTGCAAGCAGTATTATGTAGGGTTCTATAAGGAAAGAAGGCAGAATGTACCCTAGTTAGCCATTTCTCCGACTATCCAATGCTAGTTGATACCTAGGCCCTGATGCTTGTGAGCACTTTACTGTGTACCCTCATAGGAGCAGACAGAGTTATAGGACAGGGCAGATACGTACGGGGCAGGGCCAGAGACTAAAAGATGGACATTCAGACCACAGTGTGGAACTGGTCATAGGAGGCCTTTGCTTCTCCTATGAGAACCAAGAAGGATGCCTCCTAGGCCAGCCTCCACTCCAACAATTGAGATAAAACCAGAGATTTGGGATACATCATCTTAAAAACAGAAAATCGATCCCCTTTGACTTTGTCTAATCAACTAGGAGAAGTCACAATCCACGGTACTTGTTCTGTTGACCAGCGGGGAAAGAAAACGGTGATTAAAAAAAATAAAAAATAAAATAAGGGATTTCTTTAATCTGTTCTTATCTCAACAGGGAGTGGGGAGATGTCTCAGCTGGGAAGTGCCTGCTGGGTGATAATGAGGGTCTGAGTTCATGCACCCAGCAACCTGAACTTAGTAAAACCTGAACTTAGTTGTGCATGGCCAGAATCCTACAACTAGAGGGGGTGGAGACAAGTGAATCCCTGGACTCACTGGGCAGCCAATCTAGCCAATCAGCGAGCTTTGGGTTCAGTAAGAGATGCTGTCTCAAAAGACAACATAGCCTAGCATGACACACACCTTTAATCCCAGCATTCCGGAGGCAGGGTGGGGGTCAATTCAGTGAGTTTGAGGTCAGCCACAGTATAATTAGAGGAAGAAATAAAGATAAGTAAACTAAGCAATACTGAAGACACCTGACACCAGCCTCTGGCCTCCACACATGTATATTATGCAGCTACACATACGTGCACATGCACCCACATGCACAAATGCATACACTTTACACATGCACACACGTGCTACACACATCCCATAACTAGGATTGCATAATTTATGAACATGATACTATGGAAACTATACCAACCATGAACCAAGAGAACCCACTTAAAAGCGCTGTCTCCATGAGATCTTACAGGGAACAGAGGCCCTTCTAGAGCATCAGAATCCTTTCCATGGTCTTAGCACAGGATTTTTTCCCCACCATGAAAACTGCTACAATGTCAAGATTTTGACCCATTTTAGCAAGACAATGAGACATCCTTCTACCAGCTCCAGTCCTCTTGCCTTGTCTTTTCAGTTTTGTATATTTGGAATTGACCTTGATAAATCCTCCCTCGCACACATACCCCCTTTTGGTACTCGGTACTGAACCTGTGGCCTTGCACTATTGTGTGCACACCCGACTCCTGAACTGTGCGCATTGCCATCTCCAGTCCTCCCAAGCAATGGAAGATGTGCAACGTTTACATATTACACTTATTGTTATAAACTACCAAGCCTGACTCAGAACATACTGTATCATTAGAAACATTTTCACACTTGGGGGGGGATTTTAAGTTCTAAAATATTTCATAATTACTATAATAAAAATAATTCCACAAGCATGGCCTAAGCCCCACGCGCCAGGGCTCTGACCTGGTTGCATTGCCAAAGGACACCAAAAACTATGAAGGGTTCATCACTCAAGCCTTGTGAACAGGTGCCATCTAGGCCTGCTTT